GGTAACAAGATAAACAAGTTTTGTTGTCCCCTCCTCACTGTTTAGTAGCAATTTTTCTAGCGCCCATTTTTTTTTTTGAAAAATCTTAAGCAAAACACCAGAAGTTTTGTTTAAGACTTTTCGGATAAAACGAACCCAATTTGAAAATGACGTTTCTGTACTTTATACTTCTCTAAAACAGCTCAAAAGTACCTTAGAAGCTAAGAATATTTTTCGAATATTTCTACTTATTATCAAGAGTACAAACAATATTCAAATTATCAAATGGTTTTAAATTGACCGTAGGAAGGAACCACAGGTAACTTAACCTAAAGATAGCCGGTTGCTCCTACGTTTTTTGTACCTTTCTTCAAATTAAAGTCTGTTTAGTGCATGGTGTGATTTCAGAACTGTACAATTGCTTAGAAAAGCAGTAAAATTGCCATAACTATTCAAAAAATCTGAAAAAAAAAAAAGAATTTTCTATTTTTTTGCAAAACAAATTTTTATAGAAAAAAAAACAATTTTGCCGATTAAAGCACAAAACGCTAGTTTTGTTTAACATAGATTAAATTATTTTAGCCTAAATTTGTTAGAAAAAATCCAGATAAGAAATGTTGCGTTGCTCGCTCGAAACTGCCCTAAATCTCAAAAAAATCAAACCATTTTTTCTCAACAAGGGGAAATTTCTTATGCTTCAATCGAACCACGAATAAAAAGCTTCAATATTATACACTCGACTCATTGCAAGGATGATTTTTGGCATCTGATTTCGATCCGAAAACAAAAAAGGTTTCACCCGAGTACAAGTTCTTCCTCATTTTCAATGATCGCATCAAAAAATACGCGTCGTTACATAATCAATTTACTTCCTTTTTACTTTTTGGCGAAATGAATTCTGATGAAGTTTTATCATTGAAATATAACCTTTAACTTTTATTTGTTTTCTGCTTGTGTTTTTGTGTGTTTGTGACCACAACAGTCAATATTATATACTAAAAAATAACAGTCAAATAAATAAACAAAGTTAACCAATAGTTGGGAATAAGCTAATAAACGCAAAAAAAAACTGAAAAAACTCTAATTTTCAAGTAATATGACAACGAAGCATATTTAATATCAAGAACATTTTTATATTAACTTTTTTCGATACAACTAACTCTATTTGAAACTTGTTGTATTTTCAAAAACACTGTTTTACTAGTTCCAAAATTTGAAAATTAAAATCAGCTTCCGAAACAAGAAGTTGTTTTCTTTTGCTGTTCAATAATGGAAAATAGTTTCTTTTTAACAAAGGAGTTATATTGCATCTAAAATGAAAATAAAAGAAAAACCACAAAAACCCTAAATGAGCATGAGCAGTTTGTAGACTTTCATTTGGAAAATCAATAAAGAATAACAAAGTATACTTACTCATCGACTCCTAAAAAAAATCTTTCAAATAACATGTCCTTCTATAGCTCTGTTTTTTCAAATTTTTTTTCTCCAATAAAGGTCATAAGGATTTTAGCTGTTACCTGAAAAGCGTATAATTTAACATATTAGTAGTTTTGACCAAAGTAAGGAATTTTAAAAATAGTATTAGGCTTCATTTTGCTCAATTCAGAGCGATGGAAAAAAAAATCAAATTATCCTGATTTATTTTTACAGATTCGTGCAATTTTGCATTTAATGTTTTATTATTCTACTATTTTTGGAACTAATAAAACAGTGTTTTTGAAAACACCACAAGTTTCAAATTTCAAAAGAAACAAAAAAAAAGTTGGATTAAATTTTTGAAAGTCAAGAACAGCTTATAATTAAAACTTTTTTGATACCATTCAGCCTGTTTGAATAATTGGATCAACAGAAAATTTTCTCATTTTGTTGGCAAATCTAATAAAAAACCCACTTCCGAAAAAAGAAGTCGGTCACATTCAAGGTATGTCTTTATTTTTGCTGCTCGATAATGAAGTTTAATTTTTTGAACAAGGTGAATGAACTGAAAAACAAAGAAATCAGCAGGATCGTTGAACGTAATTAAATCGTTAACTTAATTAAACCCGTCTTGTTGCGTAGAAATGTATCATTTTGAAGCCCTTTTTAAACTCCTTTCTTTCTGTTTCGACAATTTTGAAAACAAAGTCCAAATTAGGAGACAGTGGAGTAAGCATTCATTGCAGAGCAAAATAACCAAGTAATGCGAGATAAAACAAGTATTGAGCTTCTATCCAATGCAAAATATCTTCAATAAAACTGTTCGAAAGCTCCCAGCAAAAACTTTTCTTAAAAAAAAATTGGAAAAAAGCTAAAACAGAGAGAAAATTAATCAAAGTCATTCAACAATTAATAAGGCCACGAAGCCTAAATTTTAGTACACAACTCTAGTCTTAGCTAACAGACAGTTTGAGAAACGACAATAGTTTCAACAGAACGAGAAAAACTAATGCAAATTGACGAACAATATTTCAAGTTTTTGGGCCATTTTTGCTTAACACCTTTAAAAATCTAACTTGCCTGCATTTAGGAAACAAATTAGAAGTAAATTGAGAGGAAGCCATAACTCAACCAGTAAATACATCATCTTTTTCAACTGATAAGAAGGAGGCTTCCGTAACAAGATAAATGAACTTTGTTGTCCACTTTTTACTGTAAATTAGAGATTTCTTATTACCCAGTTTTTTCCTACACCAACGACCGACCAGTAGAGCTTCGCTATGACAACAAAATTTTTGATTTAATTTTTTCGGTTAAATCCAAATCAATTTGAAAAATAACCCAATTTGAAAAAGACCTCGCTGATTTTTTATTTCTCTAAAACGGCTAAAAAATACCTTAGAAACTAATACATTTATTGTACATTTCTACTTATTATCATTTTGGCATCAAATTGTCAAATGGTTTTAAATTGACCCTAGAAAGCAGCCACAGGTGAACTTAACTTACAGACAGCCGGTTGTTTTAACGTTTTTTTTGTTTCTTCAATTTAGTGTGTATATAGTGCATGGTGTGATTTCAGAACTGTACAATTGCGTAGAAAGTTAGTGAATGCGCCATAATTAGCAAAATTGCCTGCAAAAAAAAATTTTCATCTTTTTGCAAAACTTTGAAGAAAAAAGATTAATTTTTTGCCGATTAAAACATCAAACACTAGGTTTGCTTAAAATAGATTATATTGTTTTAGCCTAAATTTTTTTAAAAAAAAATCTAGATGAGAAGTGTTGAGTTACTTTCTCGAAAATGCTTTAAGTCTTTAAAAAATTAAACCATTTTTTTCAACAATGGGAAATTTCTGATAGGTCAGTAGAGCGACGACTAAGAAGTTTTTAATACGATACACTCAACCCATTGCAATGATTTTTTGTGCTATCTGATTTTGAGCGGAAAACGAAAAAATTCCATTTTTTCCATTTTCAATGAAAAAATTCCTTTCGATTTTCAATGATCGCAACAAAAATAATTTTCGTTAAGTAGTCAATTATCTTCTTTTGTAGTTTTTCTGACATGTGAAAATAAAACATTCGAAATTATTCGTTTTCTGCTTTTGTGCTTGTGTGTTTGTGCCTCAACAACCAATATTAAAAACTAAAGGTTACCAGTAAATTAAATGAACATAGATTAGAGACAGTTGGAAAAAAGCTAATGAACGCAAAAACCCTGAAACAAATGACTCTAACTTTTAAATTCTATGACAACAAAGCCTGTTGATTATCAACAACAATTTTAATTAACATGTGTCGATAAATCGAACTCAATTTGATAAGACTGGATCAATCTGTGAATTTTACATTTTGATGGTAAAAAGAAAAAATAGAATTCACTTTCGAAACAAGAAGAGATGACCTTCACAATTTTGCTATTCGATAATGGAAATTTTAAACCAAGGAATTGCGTTGCATCTAAGACAAAATTAAGAGAAAAACGATAAATCCTAAGTGAGTGTGAGCAAATTTTAGACTTTTATTTGGAAAATCAAAAAAAATCACGACATACACTCATCGACTCGTTAAATAAAATCTTGCAAATAACATGTACTTCTATAGCTCTGATTTTTCAATTTTTTTCTCCTAAAAAGGTCAAACTGATTTTGACAGTTACCTGAAAATAGTATCATTTAACATCTTAGCAGTTTTGAACCAATTAAGGAATGTTACAAATAGTTTTTATTGTGCCTCATTTTGTAATGGAATACAGTTTTCAATTTATCCTGATTTAGTTTTTCAGATTCATCCAACTTTTCATTTAAAAACTTAATATGTTACTGTTTTTAGAACTTGAAAAAAAGCGAATAGATGGGAAAAAAATAACTGAACTCAATGAAACTGAGAAAAGGCTACAATTTTCAAATTTCCAGAAAAAAAAACGTGGGATTAAAGATGTTTGAAGTTCAAGAACAGTTTTTAGCTAACACTTTTTTGATAACATTAGGCGAATTTGAATAACTGGATCAACAGAAAAATTTTCATTTTGTGAGAAATCTGATTAAAAAACACATTCAAAACAATAATTCGATCACTTCAAGTAGACTTTACATTTCTGCAGCTCAATAGTGAAGTTTAAATTATTAAACAAGGCAATTGAACTGAACTCAAAAAAATCAGAAATACGCAAAAAAAATCCATTTTCAAGATGTTTTTCTGAACAAGCAAAACAAATCACCAAGATCTGTATAAGAGTATTCCCGACGTTCATCGCTCTTTGAAATGCATCTAGTCTTGTGATAAACTGTACAAGCCAAAGGAAAATGATTTGAGTAAAATATAAGTAAAATATAAGATTTTTGAGTAAAATATAAGAATAAGAAAGCCTCTTTGGAACAAAAAAAACTTCACGCGGAACTGTTGTCAAATAAAAGTAAGTTAAAATTATTATAGAAATTCTACGTTGAACTCGTCTTATCACATTACAATCAAAATTAAGGGAAGAAATAAAGAAGAGAACGTTTGTCGTCTGAACTTTGTGCTGTTTTTCTTAAACAACATTGAACTGGTATAAAAAAAGTAAATTTTTTAAATTAATAATTCATATTAACTCTTCTTGCAAATAATAATTGATGTAATTAATGTCACCATATGGTTGCAATTCTATTCTCTTCTAAATGAATCTCTATGGAACGTTACTTCACAATAAATATGGGTACTTTCCGTTCAATCAATTCAATGTTAAGACTTTTTAAAATTCTGCTCGAATTTAACTTCATTAACAGTGACTTTGTTAGGTTTCGAATAGTTAAGATTTGTAAATTTTGCTTTTAATCTACTGCGTGCGAGCATTTGTGTAATTTCATTCTGCATCTACAGATGGGTACATTTTTCTGCAAGAATTCAGAAATTTGGTCTTTTTTAATCAATCGTAAGTTTCTACTCCAGCGCAATCATCTGATTGAGTTGGTTCTGCATCTGCAGTTGTGTGCAAGGGTGGCAGCAAGTGGCTAAGAGGCAGTCGTCACATAAAGACCCCTTGATACGGAACAGCATCCTCGTCTTCAGTCTGAGAGAGAGTAGGGGGAGGGGCACACAGATAGGCACAAACACACTCTCGCCCAGGTCACCCGAGGCCTGAAACACGAATAACGAACATTACGAGGCCAAACTGTGCACTCGATAGGCGCACAATTGAGTGTATGTAGATTTCTGGAATACAGAAACAAGTCTTTAAACATGTTAAATTTTGTCGGAACGATTTAAAAAAACGAAAGCACATAAGATTAAATAGTGTCCTGGCTGCGGAATCCGCTCAAAATTCACAAATATTAGACAGTTTGGCTTCGTAATGAAGATAATTTAAAAATTTTCCGAACAAGATATCCAGATCATTTCAAAAAATCTTTGCATTAATTAGTGTATCAGATTGTCTTAGATTGTCTCAACGTCTTAGGCTGGTAAGGTTGCAATTTTTGTTGCGGTTTCTGGATCTCCGATTTAGAGGCTTCAGCATTACAAAAAACTCAAAAAAATTCCAAGAAAAGCGACAAAAAATCGTTTGAAAAATCATCTACTTGCCAGCTAGCTTATAGAAATTTAGCTGGAAAAACACCCTGTGCGTTAATTATTAAATAATCCAAGTCCGAAAACGCTCTTTCGGGATTTAGAAGCGTGATTTTGTCTGTGAATCAAAAACTACATCTGTGATTTTAAAAAATTGAAAGGAACCAAAATTAAAAACGATCTTGAATAATGAAAGAAACAAAACACAAAAATAATTAAAGAAACGAAAATTGGAAAATTGAAAGAAACATACAGAAAAAAAAAGAAAAAACCTGTTTGTATTTTTCTAACCTTGCAGAGACAGCAAAGAGGACAGCAGTACACCCCCAGACAGAGAGAGGGACTCTCGCAACATCCCCCCAGAAGTCCCGTCTTCCACTTGTTCGGCATATCGAACATCTTAGGGGGTACTTTAAAACCCCCGCTCACCCCCTTACCTGATTGAGGAGGGAAATTATATTGGGGGTTTACAAAACCAGCATTCGGTATCACCTGAAACAAGTTGAGCTGAGAAACTTCAAAACAATCAGAAATTACCATTTTGAGCACTTATCGCTGACTAAACCTTCGTTGAGGGGCGCTCAATAATGATGAATTCAGTGTCGAAATTGAAAAAAAAACAGTGGCAAAAAAAACTCATTTTTTCGGCATTGCTTAACAACTTTTTCGTTTTTTCAGCACTGCAGTTTTCGGCACTGTTGTAATGTTTCGTTTTCTACTAGGGATATTCAGTTTTCGGGTATACCCGACCCATGATTTGACCCTGTTCAACCAATGAATTGACTTTGTTTGACAAAAACTTTCGTTCAGCCGTGTCACTTTGCGACGAAAATTGGGCATCGTTCGACAGATTTGGTCGAATCATGAGTCGAACACTTCAGCGCGGGTAATTGATATTGAAAGTGAAGGGGTTTTTGATCTGATCGAGTTTGGTTACTTGAAGGCAATTTCTGGTGTTTAGCTGAGAAAGTATGTGATATTTTGAAAGCAAAGATTTTCGCATACAATAGCATTGCATAACTGATAAAAGTTTTTGCAGGAGCAAATTGATTGGGCGTTTTTTTTCTTGAAACAAAAAACCAGCAAAAATCGGTTCAATTTATGTTATTTCAGATACTTTCCTGCACGTTGACGTTTCCGTTGCCGTCTGTGGCATACTGAGCTCCTCCTCCCGGTTGATGGGTGACCACTGTCCGAACGGGCGAAGAGTAGACAGGTGGTGGACTGCCAGGATAATTCGGCGGCTGATATGTCATGTCGAGGCTCAGTTAGGCTATAGGTTAAAAGTATGATTGTAGGGTCCTCAATAAGCAATTAGGAAATATGGTTCCTGGAAATCAGTTCGCAAGGTAAAGCTAACACGTACATGAGTCTCCTAGGGTAAATAAGTTTCCACAATTTTTTTCGAGAGACCCAACTATCATACTTTTTACCTTGGTTGAATTACTTAAAATTGGTTTAAAATGATCTTGTCTCGAAAGCAAAAAAAACACACATCAAACTTGAGTCTGTTTTCCTACGTAATTGCAAAACAAATTAACAAAAACGTGCAAAAACAATCATTCCAGCAACTGCAAATGAAAAATTAAATTTTGGACGTTTAATAAATAAGTGATGACAAAATCGGTGTCCTTGAGCATATTCATCTCTCAGAATTTTGCAAAAATTCAGCACAGAGAGAATTAATTAAAAAGAGCAAATGACCTATTTCAGAAAACTTTTGCAAGCAAAAGCTAATTTTGCAGACAGAAAACGTGACTCAAGGTCACCCTAAAACTCAACTTTGCATGCAAAAGTAATTCGAAACTGGAAGATTGCTCTTTTGGTTTACTTCTGTCTGTTGCAAATTTTTTGCCAATAATTATAATTGAACTTTATGCCAAATGTTTAACAATATCGGTGACCGTGATCAATAAGAAATCAGAAGAACACATAAATCTAATGTCAAAAAGGGGCAATTATTTTCTTTCAGATTCGTTGGCCGAAAAAATAATGCCAATATTTTGGCATTAACTATAGATTATAGTTTTATAAAGAATTACAAAAATTTGAAAAAATAGTTAACACAGAGGCAAAACGGATTTACGTAACACTTGCGATGCAAAAACTTCCGGAAAAATAAGAAATTGAAAAATTTACACGAGAAAACTTCTAGAAAATTAAGTTGAAAAATTACTTGAAAAAATAACTTGACAATTTAATAAAATACAGCTAAAAAATTTCACAGCTACAAAAACTTCATACAAAAACTTTTGTTTAAAAAAAACTAAGTAGCTTGAAATCAAAACCTGTTATCAAAACCTGTTTCAGCGGGAAAAAAATGTTGTCATAAAAAAATTAAAAGTTTTTAAATTTTTTTACAAACCATCCAATCTGAAAAACACAATCGCATGCAAGTATTCTCACTAAATTGGCAGCAGCAGCAGCAGCAGCAGCAAAAACGTAGCAAAAAAAATTGAAGGGACATAATTTATAGTTTATGCCATCTTTTGACTTTCAGAACTACCTAAAAATTCCAAATTTTTCCGAATTAGATTGGTTAGTGATTAGTTAATTTGTCTTCTTACTAAATAAACTTAGAAAGTAAACTACTTACATCAACAAAAAATTTGCAGATAAAAATACGTTAATTGATTGATAATTTTTGCGCATTCAGTCCTTCGCGCTTAAAAATAGAAAGCACCCACATACTAGTTTTTCAGTCAGAATGTCATCTGAAAATTTAAATGTATGTCATCTGAAAATTGCTTGTATTCAAAGTCGACAATTGCTCTTTTTAATTAATTGTCTACCCACATTTTTTGCTGGTTAATAAATTTTATTCAGCCTATCGCAAATTTCAGCTGAACTAAATTATCGAGTTAGAGCGAGTTTTATAACGTTTTATTCTCAATTTGGTTTGACATTGAACAAAAAAGCACTTTGGGAACCTGTGCAAAGAAATTCATTTAACATGGAGCAAAATATTTCGGAAATTTAGATATCAAAATTTTAACCCAAAAAGAGTAAGTTTGGCGCTTTTTTACTATTATTAGAATATCTTGTTTACCCAATTACAGTGCTGATTTAAATTAACCGGACAAAACCCGTTAAATTTGAAAAATATAAAACCCGTTTTTCTTAAACTGGGTTCAGTTTAGGTGAAAACTTATGAAGACAAAACTTGCTTGAAATTTTAGCAGAATGAATATGGCATTATTTGTTTTGCAAAAATCGGGTCCGAAATTTTACCCCCAAAAAAGGGTCATTTTGGCTTTTCTTAGTTAATCAAAAATTACGCCGAAATTACCCAGTCGATCACAGACATAATTACATCGAAGTGAACCCCTTATGTAGCTCAACAAACTTTATGAAGGGTGTTTTCTCCAAAAATAATGCAAATTGTTTAAAAATTGTTTTGAAATAAAAAGTTGGTATTTTATATAGTAAAAACGACCTTTTTTGTCTATCAAACAGAAATAATTTAACTTATACAATATTTTGGAGATTATACCCTCCTTAAAGTTTGTTGGGCTACGTAAGGGGCTCACTTTGGTATAATTATGTCTGTGATCGACAGGGTATTTTCGGCGTAATTTTTGATTAACTATGAAAAACCAAAATGACCCAATTTTGGGGTAAAATTTCCGAGCCGAATTTCACAAAACAATTTACGCCATATTATTTCTGCTAAAATTTTAAGCAAGTTTTGTCTCCATAAGTTTTCACCTAAACTCAACCCAATTTGAGAAAAATTTCAAGTTTAACGCGTTTTGTCCGGTTAATTTAAATCAACACTGTATTAAAAAATGAGTTTACTGTGTAGACCAGCAAAATTTAACAGAAAAACGGTCTCTAAAATTTTGTATAAGCAAAAAATATTTTGTTCGGGAGCCAAATCATAGATTTTTGTTTCAAGAAAAACTTAATTTTTATTTGAAATTTCTGCATTAATTTAGTAGTTTAACCATTTTGAACTTAGCTGGGCTACTGATAATCCTGGGTGTATAAAAATCGTTATAATTTAACTCGGTACTTTAACCGTAGTTTTTAATTGAGAAACTACAAAAATTATCCGTTGCGAAATTTTTTCAAAACCAGTAGATAGGTCTCAAAAATTTATTTTGATAATCCAATTTTTTGCAACCTACTATAGTTTAACATTAAAAATTTAACTATTTTGGTAACCGTTTATGATTGTATCTATTAAGTGTAACTTTGCGCTGTTTCACAATGGAAATTCATTTTTAAAGCTCAAAATAAAACCTAGAAGCGCCATTTTTTGACCTAATTTAGAGTGTTCGATATCAAAGACATTGCCAACGGTTTGATTTAAAAAACATCAAATGCCAAAGCTCATATTTTAGTGAATCATATGGTTGTACTCATCAGTTGAAATTTAGCTTTGATGATTACAAAATTACTAACAACGATTTGCCTCTGAGAACACAAAATTATTCAATTTTTTAAAATTTGTTGACCATTAGCACTAAAATTGTTGAAGATAGGTTAAAAAGAAGAATTGATTAATTTTCAAATCGGCGTTATAACCAAAGATCCAGTTGAAGATCCATATTTTGATGAAGCATCAATTTGGGAGATCATCAGATCTTTCGATATGTCGAGTGACTTCTCCTCCGGGCAATTATTTAACATTACATCTCATATTTAACATCTCATATTTAGATCTTATTTTTGAAAACTGTAAGAAAATTAGTTGCAGCGTAAAAAATTTTTTATAAATTTTTATAATTTAAGAAAAAGCTGAGAGAAAAGTATAAAATTGACATTTTTCGAAAAAAAAACTTGTTTTTAGTAGAACTTGTTTATTAATTGATCATTACCGTAAATATGGTAGTCTCAAAATTATTTAGATACCAATTCGTTTTTTGCTATCCAATTCTATCAGTTTAAAAAAGCGAAACGAGTCAAGCAATTAACCTAAACACGAAATCTAGTAACCAAGAGTTTTTTAAATTCGATTTGAACCTAGATTTCTCGTTTTCGAAGTTTTGTTTCGACGTTAAAACGTCACCTAACTCATTTCGGGAATTAAACTCACCGCGGCGGTTTTATAATCTTTCCATTTCGAATGACTTTGATATGAGTTGCAGTTGATTCGTACAGAATATTTCTAGATGTAAACAGATGTAGTTTTTTAAACGAGCAGATTTCGTAATTATTTTCTGATTTTTGAGTGAAAAATTTTTCGAAGTATTCTATTTTGCAACCAGTCAAGTTTTTTAAATTGCCTTTGAGCAGTTGTGCAGTGTTTCAAACCCCAGCTTGGATGCAAGGTTGAATTTATGACTCATACAATTCATTAATGACCCTCGTTTAATAAACTTTTAGAACTGATACGTTTGCTGTTAATAATTTCGAGCAAACATGTGTTTTAGTAGTTAGTTTATGATCTGAAAGAAAATCTGAGAACTAAATTGTTGGCTTTATTTTGATTTGTTGACCTTTAATTGATAATGCCGCCAATTCAATTTGGTTGAAAATTTTAAGCAAATTGTTTTATCATCATTTAGGGTCACATCAATTTCGGTGGACCAATCAAAATAAAATTATCATCACTGCTAAAAAAATTTCGTATCATCGGCAAACAAAGTTAGTTTGGTAGTTTCGCCAAAAGGAGGAAGGACAATTATATAATATGAAACAAAAGGTCTTCCAGGACAGATATCTGCTTGTTAAGCTGACATTATATGAAACCTTGTCGAATAATGTAATTATCCCACAAGCGTTGAAAGATGAAGATTCACTACAAAG